CAGAGGAAGGCAATGGGAAATCTTTCCTGAACAAATCTTGCCAAGAAAACTCTGCCATAGGTTCGCTTTAGGGTTGCCATAGGTTGGAAACAATTTGAAGGCACAGAGCAACTACTAAGCTTTAGCAGTCAGAGACCCTGAGGAGGAACAACTGACCAGCTTACTCCACTTGCTGAAAGAGGCTACTGGGTAGGGACAACCCAAATCTGTGTATCTTTCCTTGTCTCTCCATTGGAAAGTGTAACATGGCTGTCCCATCTCTGCTAATGCATACTTTAAAGGACATCAGCAGTTCCACTTCAGCTTCATAGTTTGGAAGTGAGAAACAGCATATTAAATTTTGGCATTCCATTAATTAAGTTTAGACTTACAAGCAAAATATTTCAAATTACAAGCTCACAGGCTAGACTTTGCATTCATGCGAGTGATCAATGTCTGTCACTGAACCATAAATAGAGTGTAAGTTGTAATTGAAAGTCCGGGGACATTAACTTTTAAATGACACAGAATGTACAGCCTTCAACTTGTGTACAGTCAGCGTCTGAGTATACTACTGAGTAATTCTCATTTTAGGTGACTACTTGTTTATAAATAGCCCCACTGAAGTAACTGAAGAAATTATTCGTTGTGCTTTTCTAGGAATGCAGATGAATTTAAATATTATATGGCAATTACTATAGTAGGGATTGTGTTCTTTTATGAAACATTAGTGCATTGAGATTAGTGTGCAGTATTTTTAAATAAGAGAATAGCAGCATTCTCATGCTAGACTGTCCAATGGCTTCATTAGAATAATCATTTTCCTCCCCCCACCCCCAAATTAGGACCCAGCTTTATCTCAACATGGAACACACTTTTTTTAAAAAAAAAATCTCTTCAGAGTAAGTATTTTCTATTTACAGGAGTGAACTGACAGCTGTCTTTGTCATGCTGGGTTTAGGAGCTCCATCTACTAACATTCCTTCCCTTCCTTCCTTCCTTCATTTATCTTTCTGCTTCTTTTGAAAAACAACAAACCTAACAAAATCACAGTAAAAATGTGTTGGTTCTACTGGAAAAATCCATCTTAGGTTATGCCATGATTCTTATATAGGTCCCAACCAACTAGTTAAAGACCACTGGTTTAGAAAATTTTCCAGTTAACTTCTGTTAAAATTGTGTAGACAACAATGCATCTAAGTTGCTTAAGTTCACAAATTAGGAGCATGTGTTAAATTATAGAAATCCAGGCTCTCTTCTCTTTCCTACTGAAAAGTTCTGAATTTGCACAGTTGAAAAAAAATGCAGATCGTGTCTATACACCAGCCAGTTAGTCATGACAAATGGGATGATCTTGTGTATGGTTTAAAATAAAACTAATCTATGTCTGGGAGGGCCTCATTAATGCAGTTTGACACCACTTTTGTTGCATGGCTCAAAGGTGTGGAAACCTGGGAAACAAGATCTTTAGCCTTCTGTGCCAAAGAATGCTGGCACTTAACCAAACTACAACCCCCAGGATTTCATAGCACTGAGCCATGGCAGCTAAATTGGTGTCAAACTGTATTTATTCTGCAGTCTCATCAAAAGCAATAATGGATCTCTTCACATAGCCCACACAAGCCATGCCACTGCACCGTCAGTCACTAATAAAAGAGAAGACGTGCAGGGTGCCTTGTGTTGTCCTGTGTGCCCTCTCTCCTTTGCACACCACATGGTGGGGATGGCACCCTGTCCCCATCAGAAGGAAGAAAGGGCGTATTTCCCCACTATCCTTTCCCCCATCATATAGGGGAAAGGGGAGGAAAGTGTGGATAGCTGTGTTGGGGCTACCCGAAAAACACTTTCCTCCCTGTGGTGGAGGAGGAAGCCATTTCTGGTGCTTTGGGAGGAATGTTGGCGGGCTTGCCATGTGTCATCTGATGGTGCTTGGCAGGCACCTTCCAAGCTACAGATAAAAGTGGCAAAATGGGGCTATTTTGCCCCGTGTGAAGAGGTTGAATCTGAGTTTCATGTCTCACATTTCCAGTGCAGTCTTATCTATGTTTTCTTGGTCTTTCTTATTTCAGTGCAATTTACTCTCAATTAAATACATATAAGACTTAGCCAAGACCAATCAGAAATAGGTTAGGACTGTAAAATGATGCCAATGTGTTAAGCAATAATCACTATGGGTTTTTTTAAAGTTATCATTTTGTGAGTAACTAAAATGGTTACACCATTACTTAAGTTCTTTGTGATACTTTAAGAAAAGATTATTTTAGTGCTATGAAAACATTATGTTCCCAAACAAGTGTAATCCCTTAAAAGTCAAAGGATAAAACAATTACAAGAAACAAGTTATCTGTAGTCCATTTAGACTTTAACACATGGCTGTTGACAAGTTCTTGAACTTCAGCCTTGTAATTCAATCCTCACTTTTCGATTTGGTAGATTTTATTTTTAGAAATAAACACTTCCCTCCAGTAAATGGCTCTAATACCAGCAGTTCTGCACCAGTGAAAACTGAGGAACATTGCTGTGAACCAAAGAGCTGATGGCATATGCCTAGGGAGCAAAGCAGGCTGGTGCAAACACAAACCAGCATGATTTGCCACCGTACAACATTTTTCTCAGCCATGCCATTTCCTTAATTAATACAATATTGGCTAATTAAATGAAGTCATTCCCCAGGCTCCTTCAAGACACTGAGCAGAAAGTGAACCTTATTTCTTTCTCCATAATAGTCAGCGCCTGTAATCTTTCCATTTCCGTTCCATGAGTAATTGGCTGCATACTTCACTATATGTCACTTTAAATAATCAAGGTTAATTGGGATCGTTCTATGAAATTCCACATCTTCCTGGAGTCATTCATTACAATTAAACCACAATTTGTAAGAGTCTCAAACCTTAGACATCTACAGAGTAGCAAACTCGGCAATGCAGAATCAAATCCAAGTAGTGTTTCCTCTACCCTGGTGATTTCTGACTGTTGCTAATGGCAAAATTGCCTTAATAAGCTGATAAATGTTGTCAGACTTCTGTTTGATATATACAATAATATATACTTGAACTTTGTGGATGACCTACAATTCTTTGCAAAGAATACTGTGACTGAAATTTCCAACTCTAATCAAGCATACTATGAAAAATATATTTCTTTCAAAATTTTGTAACTTCACAACTTTAAAAAGAAGACAAGAGAAGGCTTTAGTAAATTCATTTGATAGCTTACTTTCCCTTTTCTCCGAGGAGCTGAGATCAGCAAGTGTGTTGAAATGTTACTGAGTTCAAGAAGGAATGCCAAATGCAAGGTTTGCTTATCCAAGTTCATACTACCCTTCAGTACATTTGCAATCACATAATACGTATTATTGACATGCCACTATTACTTATAGGTCCTGGTTAAGACTACACTTCCACTGGTCTCAAAATAAGCCTTCATGTTGAGATACAATGATCACCTGTCTCACTTATTTTCATATGGGTGAGAAACTTGGAGCAAAAATGTGTAAATCAATATCATTTTATTATTATCCTCAAAATTATATTGCCCAAATGGAAATCAATATATTGCTCTTGTACAGCTTCTGCTGGGCGGTCAATCAACATGATGCAGCCTATTGTAGGAGTCATATAATATTTTATAGGACTTATTGCTGACTATTTCAGCAAAGCTAAATACAGTGTTGGTAGAGTGGACTTCTACTTGCACAAGAGATTTTCCATTTTTCTTCCTTTTTACCCACAACATTTTAGAAAAATCAAGAATACATATGAGACATTCATAAGGGAGGAATAGAACTTGATACAACAGAAGTATCTGTTTTTTGACAAAATGATACCATCAGGTACAACCTAATGGGTGTAATCTTGGACACATCTTAGGAAAATATTAGATCAATATGGGATGGAATACTACCAAGGCAAACATTTCTGCGACCACAAAACAACTGATTTCTGAAGAAATCACAACTATTAAGTTGGACTGGATAGCCCTTGTGGTTTCTTCTAGCTCTATGACTCTATGATAGGTTTCAGAGATGTTCCCAGGATGTGGTGGGGGCTTTTTTGGATGACAAGAAGAATCCAGTACTTATCCAGATGTGCCCATAGGAAAAGGCTAACAATGGCTCTAAGTACATTTGCTTACCTGAAACTAAGCCTCATTCACTTAATTTGAATACAGTATGTTTATCACATTATAAAGTTGTTGTCTGATAAATATAGGGCTATGGAAAGCTGGTTTATAACGAGTCTGACTGACTGTCCATCATGCCCAGTATTGCCAGTGGTTCTCTAGTGTTTCACACAGTATACTTTCTTACTTAGGGATCCATAGTATTTCCTAGTGTCAGTGGCTCTCAAACTGATCTTGCTTAGCTTCTAAAATCCTGGGAGTTTAGCATACGTGGTGGCTCCTGATCATACACTGGCTCATGTGAAAACATTGTGACTATGGACCTTGCAGCATGATCTTATAACACCTATTTGGGAATAAATCTTTTTCATTTCAATATGACAAACAAGACTTATTCCCAAGCAGATATTCTTAGGACTATGCTGCAAGGAATAAAGAAGTGATAAAATAAAACTCGCTCATGACTGCATTCTGTTTCCAAGCCTAGGGTTGGGTTCATTTTGGATATGTAACTTAAGAAAATGAGGAAGTATCAGTGGCAGCACAACATAACTGCAGATGATTACAAGCTCATTCCAAATGTAGACGCCTGTGAGTAGACAGGAAATGGAAACAGTGCTGTTAGATACCCTGGGTGGAAATATCTTTTAATAGAGAAGTTTAATTAAACACTCCTCTGTTGAGAAACCTTAGTTAGCTTCATTGAACTATTCACACTCTTTGGAGAATAAGCATTTTAAAGTTCATATTTAACTTACAGAATGTAGCTTTATTGACCAGACAACTAGATAAGACTTCCATATCTTTCAGCTACTCTTGTAATTGTAGCATTCTGAAATATCCTGACAAACTTTCAGTGTTTGATAAAGAAAAGAGGAAAAGGAAAAAAAAGGAAATACCTGTTTTGTCAGTGACTGCCATAGAATGAGAGACAGGAAAAAGGAGGATTGCAAGCCAAAGCTGAATTATGCAAAATCCAGTAGCCTTCATCTCCTCTCGAACACATGTGAACAAACGTTCAGAAATCTGAAATAAAAACATGTATTAACAAAAAAGCTCTTACACAGGATGTCTGCTCTGACTACATGAAAATATCTAACAAGATATTCTTAAGAGGGGTTAGGTACAAGTGTTTGAATTGCCAGGAGCCAGCAAGAGCCTGGCCTCCTTGCTTTCCTGTGAAAGTCTCTTAGATGAATATTAAGGGACCTATGAGAGTGGGAGATCGTTTGTTTAAAATGGAGGGTGGACTCCAGAGTCCCTGTGAATTTCATTACAGGATGCATACCAAATCTGACAGAAATATGTGGGTTCATGTGCAACTGACTCAACACATGTGTAAAAAATTTAATTACACAAGGCTGAAAACGTGCAGTTATGGCAGGATAAAAGCATCTTTTGATGGGGCATACCACATTACATTGATGACACATGCCACATGGCATTGATTCATGAAGAAAAACCTGTTAATGCATCCAATATTTCAGTTTTTCTGCCATTCTTCTTTATGCAATCATTTTCTTCCACTGCTGTTCCATTATAGCAAAGCAGAGGAAAATGTGAGAACACTAAAACTGTATGGCCGCATAGTTGCAGCCAAATAGATAAGAAATAGAAAGAAAAATTGTCTACATATACTGGGTAGAGCAAATATGGGTAGGATTTCAAATACCTAGGACTTTGGTTCAGTAAAAACCTGTCATGGTCCACTCACTTAAAATATACATTTGTCCGGGCCCGATCAAGCGACAATGCTACCAGGAGGTTTTTCCATTCCAGGGGCAACCAATATATCCCCCCAGCTCTGCAAGTTTTCCAAGCAAAGGCGATGTCACAACTACTCCATGGAGTGCCCATTTGGTTAACCCCTGATAACAGTGCCATCAGATCCTTCCACTCAAAATTCCTCCACAAATTATTTGGTGTCCCAAACTGTGACCCATATGCAGTTCTATGTCTAGAATCTGGCCAATACTCCATAGAGGCCACTATCTGGTTAAACATAATAAAATTTTGGTTATTTATCCACTACCAAAGCCCCAGCAACTCTCCGACCCCTCACCTTGAGTGAACTCTATCACTCAAAATCGCTCAACAGTTCTAGCAAAGATCGGGGAATTGGGCTATGATAGCAACTTCTTGAACTTGCTAACTTTCACTGAGATCTTTACCCTTATCAAAAAGAGCCTGCTAGAAAGGGATTATAACCAATTGTTGAGCTTGGCCAATAAACCCTGTTCACCTATGAACATGGCAATTCCATTCATACAGGGAAACCCAGACTTTTACATTGCAGCGCTCACTAACCCCTCTTACAGGAGTTCCTACATGCTGGCTAGATTTAATATTATGCCATCTCTGCTCCATAGAGGAAGACTCAATAAGCAATAAGAGGCTTTGTCCCTGTAGCACAGGACTAGGGCTGGGCGGTTTCGTTCGTTAATTTAGTAATTCGTTATTAATTCGTTATTTTTTTTGATAACGAAGCGATATTGAACCATTCAGGAGCAACTTAAAATCGAAACGAATTTTTAAAATTTATTTCGTAATTGTTTCGTAATTGTTTCGAAATTGTTTCGTTATTATTTTCGTATGTCTGGTGCAAGTTTTATAGTTGTTGTTTGTTTTATCAGTGATAAAAAAATAAATTATCACACCAACAGTCAACAACAGAGGGAGAGGGAAGCTTCAGAAGTTCCCCCTGTCCCATTTGGAGGGTTTTTTAGCGTATTGCGCAATCGCGTCCGCCATTAACGAATCGATTCGTTATTGTTTTGAAATTGTTTCGTAATTTCTGAAATTTCGTAAATATCGAACTTTTTAAAAGAAAAATTTCGGAATTCTTTTAAATAACGAAACGCAAAAACCCCTAAAAACGAATCGAGTTTAGAAACAAATTTTTCCGTGGTTGGACAGCCCTACTGGACAGCTGGATTCTATCCCGCATATTCTTCTGCACTGCCCACTTTACCAGGAACCAAGATCTAGCTTACTACCACACATTATAGATTCCTTGAAAAACTACAGTGACCCAGACAAAGTAATTATGCTTTTAAATTGTCAAGATTTTAACTGCTGCCTTTCAGTGGCAAGATTCCTGAATGATGTCTGTAAACTGAATGTGTAGCAAATGTGAAGTTCCCTTTTCTATGGTTTGTACTATATTTTATACCTTTTTGCTATGTATATGCCAATAAAGGCTTATTGGATTGGAAAAAAGTTAAGAGTAGTTTTCCTGATAGTGTCATTTGCATTCGCTTTGAAACATCTTAGACAACGTTGACCAGTTTCCTTTTTTTCTATTTCCAATCTAAATTTGTAAATTTTTTGCAGTTACAATAAATGACCATATTAAAAAAGCAACTTCCTCCTGGATATGAAGCTTTTGGGAGAAGCTGGTTCCAAGCATGCCCAAAAGCAGAGCCAGAAGCACCAAAACTTGAAAAACCTGATTCCAACAGACCTGATGCCTTTGAGGCAGGCCCGTAGCCAGGATTTCGTTTGGGGGGGGGGCTAAAAAATTTTCAGGGAGGGTTTCGGGGGGGGCTGAGTTTCGGGGGGGGGGGCTGAGGCTGAGTGAAAGAGGGTCTAGCCTAGCAAACCTTTTGTATCATTACCCCAATACCCCCATGCATATGGGATATATTGAGTATGGTGATCAGATCATGATATGAATAAACGTAACAGTTTAAATAATGCACCAGTAAGGCCTTTTCGCGAACCACCATGAGAATTTCGGGGGGGGCTGAAGCCCCTCAAGCCCCCCCCCGGCTACATGCCTGCTTTGAGGCACATAAACCCAGAGCAACACTGGCAAGTTCCATACATAGCTGCAGCAGATCAAACATGAGCTTTTGGAGAGGCTCAAGAGTTTCTAGCTAAACACCAGTCCCTTCAAATAGATGTGGATGGAACCTGAGAAAAACCATCTGATCTAATCGACCTCAGCTGAGCCTCAGATCCTGTTGGAAAAACTTGCTCACATGGATTTCTATCAGGTGGTGCAACATCTGCCCTCTCTTGTGTCTTGTGGAATCCTGTTACTGGTCTGTGTATAACATCATTCTCCTTATCAGACAATTGATCTATATCCCAGCCAGATAACCTATATAATTACAAGCAGTGTAAATCTGGAAATTTGGGAGGAATCAGTCGTCTTTCATGTGTAGTTGAACTCCTGTTCTCACCAATTCTAGACATCCTGACCGTAGTGAGTAATATAGGGTGGGATTAACATCCCAACAACACCTGATAGAAACTATTGTATATACAGTCTGTACAGTTGGCCATTGGTGTCTGCTGTGTTTTGTTCCATGACCCTCCAGAGCTACCAGATCTATGGTTACTCAATTCCCATTATATACAATAATGTTGTAAAATAATGTCTCTTATATAAAATGGCAAAATGAAGGTTTGCTTTTTAGATGTTTAAAAATATTTTGAAGATCTGGATGGTTGAATCAATGGATGCAGAATATACAGGTATGAAGGACTGACTGTAGTTATCTACTACAAGCTACAAGCTTAATTTTGATATATGTCAGAAAAGGGTGGCAACATTTTTGCATACTTTCCAAGAGCATTCTTATAAAGGGGCTTTTTTATTTGACTTCCAGATCTGATCAATAATCCTCAGTCCATTTCTCTTTTTGGTAAAGAATGGATGGTTTCAAGGAGTCTTTAAAAAGTATGTTTACTATAGCTGCTATGTTGAGGGCTGTTACTTCTTATCCCTTCTTTAAGACAATTCTGTTTGTACTCTACAGAAGAGCACTAAATGCATTATGGAGCTGTGTCTGCCCCTCTTCTCTCCCTTCGAGGCCAGGGCAGTGGCAGTTAGGATGGAGAGAGTTTGGGTGGAGACCAAGCTCTAAATCCTCACTTGGTCACGATACCCAAGTCACATTCTCTCAGCCTCAAACAAAGGCAATTCCCAAGCAATAAGGTAATAATCCAGTATGGCTGGTTTGAGACGGTTTTTAACAATTTAATTTTAAAGTAGATACAACTGATTTTAATGTTTGTGTATATTTATAGTTTGTTTTTATTCCGGTATTAAATGTTTGCCATATTTATGTTGTGCTCCACCCTGAGTCCTCTTCTGGGTGAGAAGTGTGGAATATAAATGCAATAAATAAATAAATAAATAAATAAATAAATAAATATCCTGCCAAGAAAACCCTGTGATAAGGTCACCCTAGGGTAGCGATAGGTCAGAAATTATTTGAAGACACACAACAACAATATTCTCAACTTCATCATTCCATCTGAAGGACTGCACTTTCTGCAAAAGCGCATGCTCAAATCAATCAATTGAGTTTCAAAGTTTCTGAATTCCTTCATTCCTCTATCTTTCCCTAACCTATATAAAGTTTATACGATAATATCCTTATAGCAACTGCTAATTGAAATGATCTATGACCAATGCCAATATATCTCACTTGAACTGATTTTTTACTTGTATTTTCCTGCTCTCTCTATCCATCTATTACATCTTCAGAAAATGCAAAAGAGAAAGACAGCACAAAAAGAGTCAAATACATGTGTGTCATTTATCAGTGTGCCATAAACAAAAAAGGGGGAGCGTAAAGGGGCTAATTTTAACTTACAAGTAGGCTATGAAAAATGTTTTAGCTACTTTTTTTGAGACTAATGAATAACAGGTTTTCCACCAGCTGTGCTAAGTTCACATATTAGTCAAAAAGCCACTCAATTATCATTTGTAAGTAATAGCTGACTTAACGATTTTTCTTTTTAGCTTTTGATACTTTAAGCTGAACTAGAAACATTCATTGTCAGCTGAATGACTGAGGCAGTCATCATATTATACTGAGATGTATGATTCCTATATCTAGATTTTTAAAAGAAGGACAACCTTTTATATGTCTCAAAATATGCAGATAAGTGAGACCGCGTATTCCTTTTTGGGCCGCATATGAAAGAAGTTTTATATATCCAACAAAGTGTCTTTGTCTTCTGTGATTTTTCTGAATCCATAAAGAAGATAGAGAAGCACAACTTTAGCA